GCCGAGAGGCGAGGAGACAACACTCACCGAAGCTTGGGATCCCGCGTCGGAGCTCCAGACACAAGAGAGGGAGAGCGGAGAGCAAGAAGAGGCCAACGACGCCGCGAGAGGCCATGGCGCGAAGGCCCCGCCGGGCGCAGTGCCCGCCCCTTCCGGCCGTGTCTTCCGGCGGGGCTGGTGTGAAGGCCTCGCGCTATGAGGAAGCGATGCAGGCGGAATGTTAGGCCCTAAGGCTGCGCCGTGGGCCTGAGCACGTCAGCCCTTCTGTTACCAATCCCATGGTTTCCACCTCAGAAGGCGCGGGCCGTCTCCTTTCGGCTGGGGAGGTCCGAGGAGCCGCCTGCCCTGTGGTGTTGGTCGGGATGGCTGTGGATTGTCCCACTGGAAGGGTCTATAAGATGGCGCTAGGAGAATGCAATGACTGGAAGTGCGGAACAGTTGACGCTGTGAGGCCCCGTGGCCTTGTGGCACTTGTGGGTGACAGGGCTTGCGGTTCCTAGCTTACTAGTTACTAAGCATTTTCTCAGCTTAAAAGTGGGGCCCGCTGCGAGTGCCTGCTCCCACCCCACACCTGCATGAAGATTCTCTGGCCTGCTCCCCACTTATTGCTCTCCTACCAGCTTGTGTACGCGTCACCTTGGCCTCACGGGGTTCTGTGACTTCACTGTCACTCCATGACACATCTGGCAGCTTGGCGGCTCAGGAATGGGGGAACTTCCCACTGAAAGGATATCCGACAGGAAAACATCCAAGTTTGGGTCACTCCTCTTTTTAGCTCAGGTCACATTTATTGTGTCCCACATTTTGCCTGGTTCTCTGGAACTCAGAGATTCAAGTATGTGTAAATTACTGAATTTGTTCTGGACATACCCAGCTCTGGGATAGATGCCCTGTACAGAGACTATATGATGGCTGGTGCCATGACGGGAACTTGTGTATACAGTGCTACAAAAACACATTCCCCACGGTGGAGAAGAATTTCCTGAGGAAATAATACCTAACTTGTGATTGGTTAGGAATTTGGACTGGATATAATAATCCCAGCACTAGGGAGGCGGGGACAGATCCCTGAGTTTGAGGCCAACTTGGTCTACGTTTTTCTAGGCCAAATAGGCAGACGTGTTAAGACATTGTCCAAAAAAGAATGGAATGAATAAATTTGGGAGACAGAATTCAAAAGACAGCACGAGATTTCAAGTTTAGGAAAATGTAGGACCCAGCCATGACAGGATCAACTTCCCAGAGACCACCCAAGAATGGACAGTCCAAGGGGAAAAGTACCTAATGTTCCAAATAAATAGCTAAATAAGGGCTCTTTGCTTTTACATACATGACTCAGTGTCCTTGGTTTTTTTGGGGAACTCCACGATCTGGGCACAACAGAAGCAATGCAAAGGTGCTCTGTTGGCTAAAATATTGCTGAGGTTTAAAGTTTAAATGAAAGTATATAGAGGAAGCTGGGCGTGGTAGCAGGAGGCAGAGGCTGGTGGATCTCTGTGAGTTCAAGGCCAGCCTGGTCTACAGAGAGAGTTCCAGGACAGCCAAGGCTACATAGAGAAACCCTGTCTCAAAAGGTAAATAGTAACAATAATAAATAAAGTGTACAAAGAGTGAGAGACCTTGGAACACTAAGCACTAAATGGAATGTCTCCATCAAATCTCTCCCCTCAAGGATCAGGGAAACTCAAGGAAGAAGAAGCAGAATGTAAGAGCCAGAGGGCATGGAGGACACCAAGAAAACAGGGTCTAAATCAAAAAGATGAGTGCACATATGAATTCAGAGACTAAGGCAGCATGCACAGGTCTGAACAGCTCTGCACCAGATGGGATCTTAGAGCTGAAAGAAATGGACACGTTTCCATCCCTAACCCAGAAGCAATCTCCAATTGATAACCACTTGCAAATGAAAATTTTGTTTTCTTCAATGGAGTCTCACTGGGAAAACCACTCTTAAGGGCAGGCTGCATGCCCAGTGGCAGATGGCCAATAGAAAATGAACTCAGCAGCGTTTTTGAAGGTTCTTTGTCTAATAATGTTATGCTGGGCTTTTCCTTTCTTATTTTTTAAATTTTATTTATTTTTCTCTTATCTCTTTTTATCCTACGATTCCTTTGTACATATATTATGGTTTGCAGTGTAGTGTTTTTATGAAATTCCCAAGCAAACATGGGCCTCCGTTTCTTGTACCTTCTTCTCTGAACTCTTTCCCTTCTGTTTATTTGTTTTGTCCTATTCCAATGTGTTAGTTTGTTTTTATTTTACTTATCCTTTAGAAGCCTGTTGTCCATTGAGAAACAGAAACGGGGTGGATCCAGGTGGGATGAGAGGTGGGGAGGAATAGAGGAAGAGGAAACCGTAATCAGGACATGTGAGAAAAAGAAAACTTTTCAATAAAAGGGAAAATTCTTTAAAAAGGAAGTAAACAAAGGCACATCGGACCAAGGACCACTGAAGATTGTAAGTAGGCAATAAATTTTATTTCTGAGTATGGCAGTCTATGGCTATAATCTCAGCACAGGAGGCTGAGGCAGGAGGATTGTGATTGGTTCCAGGTCAGCCTGTATGCAGTGAGATCCTGCCTCAAAAACAATAAATAATAGTAACAAAAAAACTTTAAACTCAAAAAGCTCAGAATATGAGAGCACATCCTGGAATCAATAACGAAAAGGTCATTTGAATTATAACGGGATACACGGATTAAACTGCTGACTCATTCATATGTCCCCACTGTTCCCTGTGCTGATTCTATATGAAGACAGAAAAGGAATTCCTTCAGTTCTTAGCAACTTCCTTTTGCTATGCATTCCTTTTTGTTGTTTCCTTCTTAACTTCCTGTGTTGCCAATTTAATCTATTGATGACACCATTGTGTCTTATTTTGGGCTATAAAGTACAAGTTTTGAGCCTGGCAAGATGGCTCAAAGAATAATGTCTGAGTTCGATCCAGACCCCCCAAAAGTTGTCCTCTGACCTCCACATGCACACACATCAGAATTTTTAATTTCCCATTGTAGATAGCCAGCATTTACCAAATTTGTTGGCTTTGAACTCCCATCATGGTAATCGCCACATGAAGACCTCAGTGACAACCTTCACTAAGCCACGCTTCCTAATGTAGGCAAGTGTAATAGTAGTCCGACGTGATCTTCCAGGACCTCCAAGGAAAGGTCAAGGCGATTTTTAGAGATTTCTTAAATTGAAATGGTGTGGGTGACATTTTCAAGATTGTCTGGTGGTTACATAGTTCATGGTATAATAGTTTTTGGGCAAATAGATAAAGAAACAGAAGTCAGATTTCCCACTCCCTTTTGAGTTGTTGGGGATTGAATCCAGGCCTGAGCATCCCCAACTCTATCGCTCTATTGTATTTTGATGAGAACGGGGATTTGAGGATTTGGCCAATTGAGTTCAATCTCTCACTGTTGGAGAAGGAAGTTGGGTTTTGTGTTTGTTTGTTTTTGTTTTTGTTTTTTTGTGAGCAACTGAACCGTCAGATAAATGAATTTTCAGGAAGTTTTAAAATTCACCATGAAAATCTGTATTGATGTATAGTCTCTGGTGGGTAAAGAGATCCTGGAACAAACACTAAAGCTCCAGTGGTTGATGTCAAGATCCTTAATTTTAGCAGTGATGAGAAAGTTATAGGCTACAGATACAACAACATCTTATGGAACACCCTAATTTTAGTATATGTGCAGTGATTCTTTTTTCCTAGTGCTGGGAAGTAAACCCAGGACCTTATTGGTCCTCTCAGTGAACTTCAATTGATGTGCTGGATTAAAGGCATGCGCCACCATATTGGGCCAATCAACACATTTTAAATTTACATAATTTAGCCGGACAGTGGTGGCGCACGCCTTTAATCCCAGCACTCAGGAGGCAGACGCAGGCTGGGTTCTGTGAATTTGAGGCCAGCCTGGTCTACAAGAGCTAATTCCAGGACAGGCTCCAAAGCCACAGAGAAACCCTGTCTCAAAAAAAAAAAATTTTTTTTTAAAAATTTACATAATTTACATGTCAAACCAAGCCTGGGTGTGCAAATTTACAATTCCAGTAACTCTGGAGGTTGAAGCAGGAAGATTGAAAGCTCCAGACCTGCCTGGCTACAGACAAAATTCAAGACCAGACCCTGTCTGTAATCACAACACTTGGGAGGTAGAGGAGAGGACCAGGAGTTAAGTCATCAGCATGCACATAATGAGTTCTAGGCCAGCCTGCTCTATGAGAGCCGTGTGAAATGTTTTCTATTTTTAAATAATATATTACAGTGTGCGTGTGTGTGTATGTGTGTGTGTGTATGTGTGTGTGTGTGCCTGTGTGTGTCTGTGTGTAATCCCAGCAATGAAGAACAATGACAAGCCAAACTAAAGAGCTTGCTGAGCTAGCTCAAATGATAACCGTCTGCTTAAGTGACAAACTGTCTCAAGGAGAGACACAGAGAAAGACATCCTGTTCTGCTCTGGCCAATGCATGCACACACAAATCCCTGTATACTCTGTGTATGCACTGCATACAACCAACTAGTTTATGTTAATTTTTTTAACTTTTTATTTGTTTGATTTTTTTTGTTGGTTTTTGTTTTTGTTTTTGTTTTTCAAGACAGGGTTTCTCTGTGTAGCCTTGGCTATCCTGGAACTCACTTTTAGACAAGCATGGCCTCAAACTCGAAAATCCACCTGACTCTGCCTCCCAAGTGCTGGGTTGAAAGGCTTGCACCACAACCACCTGGCTATTTACTTGTTTTTCTACACAGGGTCTTACACTGGAAGCTGACTTGGAACCACTGCATGGTCCTAGGTGGCCTCAAACTCAGGTCAATCAATCCTCCTGTTAGCCTCTCAAGTATTGAAATTACAAGCATTAGCCTGTTGCAGAATATTAAGTCACACTGTGAACCCTGAGCTTGTGTTTGCATTAATTAAATAAAATCAACCTTTGTTCAGGGGGCGGAGCCAGCAACAGCTGACTGGAATTAGCCATAGAGTCTGGTGGAGCCAGGAAAACGGATAAAGAGACACACTGGAAGGAGTAGCTTCTTTTCGGTTTGGGTCGAGTGAAGAAATGCATCTCTTACTGGGTCTCCAGACAAAAAGCAAGGTCAGCTGGTTGCTTCTCAGCCTCTGAGCTAGCAGGTTTTCACCCCACATCTGACTTCCAAGTCTTTGTTGGTAAATAGAACGATTGAGACATATTTTAAACCTACATATCTTGGCCACGGCTGAGCCAGTGCCAGCAGGACCAGAAGTCCTTCCAGGTGGGGTGCTGACTGTGGGGCCGTGGGACCACAGATGATTTAATTAAGATATAAGTGTCTTCATATGCAGCTGCTATGCTAACAGACAAACATCATTAGCCACTATGTATGACTGACTTTCTGTTATTATCAACATTTCTCTCTATTAACCATGAGGGTGTCGGGGATGGAATCAGGTTTGCTGGCAACCAACTTTTTACTCATTGAGCCATTTCAGTGACCTTGCTTCCACTTCTAAAAAAAGCTGATTTCTGGGTAAGATGGGAGAGACAAACATGAGTTAAGGTTTGCTTACCGTCTCACTAACACAGTAACAAGCCCAAGCCCTGTTCTGAGTTACATGGAACCATCAGAGAAAAAGGTCACTCCAGAATGTAATTCAGATTCCACGGCAGCAGGGTGGTTCAGTTTCTGAACTGAATCTTCAACAGCCAAGCAGAAACATAATTATTGATTGTGGTGCAAAGGTGTTTCCTGAAGGAAAGCATCACACCCCTGTGACTTTAGTCCTTATAGTGCACTGTTTGCACTACCCAATAGTGCAAGACACTCCAGGTGTGCCAGGACTGCCTGTGACCAAAGTCATCCCAAGGCTGTAAAGCTCCTTCAGAAAAACAACTCTGTAAATCAGAGAAAACAATCACTGTTTTCTACAATGATTTCTTCAAGATCTAAGTACCTCCAAGAAACAGCTATCACATTCTGATGTTTATAATACATTGACTCTACTATTTTTTCCTTCTACAGAGCCCACAAAAATGCAGGGACCAAGAGAGAAGGAAGGGGAAGGAGAGAATGGCAAAGAATAGGTAAATTCCACTCACTGTGATGATGACCATGTAAAATCTCCAAAATACCAAAGAATTGTAAGGGTAATAACGGGGAGCCAAAATGGAGAGCTGGTTGAAAGTTCATTTAAGATGCATTAAACCCCACAAATCTGGGTTTTAATCAGTCAGTAAAGGCTTGCTTGCTGCCAAGCCTGATGACCTGAGGTTGACTCCCCAGAACACAAGGGGGAAGAAGAGTTCCAACTCACAAATATCCTGTTCCCACACACATTCACTCATGGGTGTGCACACACTCATTCAAAATCAATAAAAACAATATAAAAACTGAAGGTCAACCAGGCAGTAGAGGCACACATCTTTAATCACAGTATTTGGGAGGCAGAGGCAGATGGATCTCTGTGAGTTCAAGGCCAGCCTGGTCTGCAGAGTGACTTTCAGGACAGTCAGTGCTGTTACACAGAGAAACAACTGTACTCACCTGGCTCTGTTTTATGGGGGGGGGAATTTAAAGAGGGTTTCTCTTTGTAACAATTCTAGCTATCCTGAAACTCACTCTGTGGGCCAGGCTGGCCTCAAACTCACAGAGATCCACCTGCCTCTGCCTCCCGAGTGTTGTGATTAAAGGTGTGGGCCACCACTGACCACCTATTTATCAGTCTCTTAAATGTACTTATGGCCTTCAGGGGTTTTTGTTTGTTTTGTTTTGTTTTGTTTGGTGTGTTGAGACAGGGTTTCACCATTGTCGACTGTTTTTTAATTCTTTTAACTTCAAACTTCAATACTTTAAAAAGATGTTGTGGGGCTTGGGGAGTTTGCTCAGTAGTTAAGATCTCTGGCTGCTCTTCCAGGAGATGCTGGTTCAGTTTCCAGCACCCACATGGCAGCTCACAACCTCTAACTCCAGTGCCAGGGGATCTGATGCCCTCTTCTAACCTCTGCGGGCGCTGCACGTCAGTGGTGCACAGTCACTCTTACAGGTAAAATACCCAAATACATAAGCACAAAGGTTTGAAAAATAAAAAGCTGTCATTTTTTTTCTGTAAAGTCGATTCCTCTTTATCTCTTCATGTTATTTTGATAGGTTTTTGGTAATCCACACTCAGTCATTGTGATGGTTTGAGCGTTCCTGTCCCTTTAGAACGCCTCTGCAGGAACCAATTCGGAACAATATTACAGTACTTTAGGCTAGTACAGTAGGCTTTCGGATTGGTTAAACTATGAGTGCTCTGCCCAGGTAAAAGGGATTAGCATTTTTACAAAAAAAGACAGAAAGAAATCTCCTTGTCTTAGAGTACCCTAGAGGAACATAACTGATAGGAGGGAGTGGACATCACTGAGGGAATTTCTTAAGTCTGTTTTGTTCAGTACAGGCTGCATAGCCAAACTGGCTGTCTGCACTCTGGAGAGGCTGAGAGCCCCGTAGCGACTCAGTCCGCAAGGCTGGACGCCTGGGCAGTCTGGTCTGAGAGTAGCAGGTGGATGCACCACGAGCTGCAGTCAGAGGCACGTGTGCAAGCAGAGCCCTTTCCTCCCAAAGCCCTTCACATCTGAACCCCACCAGAAGGCACTTCCCACTCTGTCTTCATCCAGTTCATCCTTCCCGGAGACACCCTCATAGAGCCTTGTCTCTTAGTTGATACCGAACTCAATCAAGCTGACAACCTAGATTAACTGTAACCCCAGCCTCCATCCCTACACTTTCACCACGTGAGAATGCAGCAACAAAAAGCCATTAGAAGACTTTTCGTCACATTTTCTTTGTATGTGTGTATGTGTGTGGAGGGCCTCATGAATGCTAGAAAAACAGTCTACCACTGAGCTATCTCCCTACCCTTCTTACATTTTGGAACAGAATCTCACTAACTTGTGGGAGATTGGAGACAGTTCTGAATGAATGAAATTCTGAATGACTGTGTCCTGTTGACATGCGCACAGCCCTGTCAAATACCCTAGGCTCAGACCCGTGGAAAATGGCAGTCATTGGGGGCTCAGAGGGAAACGGCAAGGCCTTCCCTTTGGGCCCAGATGTGGATGTTGGCGGTGTGTACAGAAAATGTCCACCATTGCTTCCTCACCCCAGATATTTACGGCCTGAAGAGTGCTCCCCTACAGACTGGTTCTGCTGAGATTAGCTTCAACCTGTCTCTTTGGATCAGTGGAGCACCATAACCCTGCCTTCTTGTTTCTATGTGTATAATAGCTTCATCCCTTGTTCAGCTGTATGCAATAATCCTGTGTCTATAGTAAGCACACTGTGCTTCCAGGTGCTGTGGCTTTTCCATCAGAGAGAGACAAGTCTACCCAGTTCCCAGCTTCCCTGTGTCTGTCTTTTCCTCATACTCGCCTCCTCAGGTCCATCCCCGGAGTCATGCTGAACACAGCAACATTGCGCATGCCTGCCTTGAACTTGCTTTATAGCCCAGTCAGGTCTCAACTCCAATTTATTTTATTTTTATTATTTTGGCTTTTGAAGACAGGGTTTCTGGCTGTCCTGGAACTCACGCTGTAGGCCAGGCCGGCCTCAAACTCACAGAGGTCTGCCTGCCTCTGCCACTGAGTGCTGGCATTAAAAGAGTACGCCACCACTGCCAGGCATCTTAACCTTATTTATTTTAAACCACAGGTGTGTGTTCATAAATGTGTATCTGTGTATCAGGGTATGCACATAAGTGTGGGCACTCTGGGAGGTTAGAGGTGTCAGATCTCAGGTTGCTAGTATTACAAACTGTTGTGAGCTTATTGTGGGTTCTGGGAATTGAGGTAGGGTTCTCTTAACCACCAAACCATCTCCCCATCTTTTATGGTTGAACAAAGGTCTCATTATGTAGGATTAGCTAGCCTGGAACTCATGGCCTCAAATTCATAGAGATCTGCCTGCCTTTGCTCTCCAAGGGGTAGGAGTAAAGTGTGGGTCACATGTTGCCTTTCCATTTTATGGTCAGTGTATGGGAGGGGCCGTTTATATATACCTACATGTCTATATAACTTTATCTCATCATACTTTAATCTGGTGAGTTTAACAATCACTGATGGCTCCTAACAGAGCTGCTTTCACGGTGACCTTGAAAAATGTTTTCTCGCTTTATTCTGTCTATGTTTATTACTAGGTACTAGACTAGACAGAAAAAAAAAATCTATCTTCTTTTTGATCATCTTGAACCCAGATTTCTCCTACTTCTGCCTTCCAAGTCATATTACTTTTCAAGCGGGGGAAAAAAAAACCCAAAACAATGAACTGTATAACATTTTCATTCGGTGCATTCTGATTGGTGTGCGGGACCTAGGGGACCTATATTCCCTATATTCATTATTTCTTCGCCGTGAGCTTCCAGCTACACTGTTCCCAAAGACCCTGCCTGAGATCTTGGCCGGTTTAGTTAGCAGCTCCATCTCAGTAACTTCCATAGATTGGCAAGGCAATGCCTTTGTCTTTAAGCTTCATCTGTGGATCACAAAAAAAAAAAAAA